TTAACATTGTCTTGATGCTCCATTTCCCCAGTAATTCGCCTATCTTTCTTGAAAGCTTGCAGGATGGCAATATTAGGTACCTGGAGGAAGAATTGTCCAATTCCTCGTTCTCTCTCACCATATTTCTTAGCATTTTGACATTGTTAACAATTTATCCTAATTGACAATTGTTCTAAACTATAGTCTTCATTTGACTTTCTAACTCCTGATCCAGATAGTTCACGTTTGCTAGGCGCAAACTTCTTATTATCATTGATTTTATTGCTCACACTCTAACATCATAAGTATGATTCAAAAAGAGATTATCCTATACACATCATTACCCGGTTTGTTCTCTTTTTTAACAATCATGACATGTGAAATGGGAAAATAACTGTCATTTACTAAATTCATAGTGAATTTATTCTCATTATCTACTCTATTCATTAACCCAGGAAAGTCTTCCAAACGCTCTTTGCCATGCTGCCAGTAATTAAGCAAGAATTATCTCTGACTACTGAATAGAATTAGAGTACAGAAGAGAAGGAGCAGGAAGAGCCACCGATTAAGAGAAGGCTTGATTAACCTGGAGTCTGATTTGGGCTTGAAATTGCCAAATTGCTTATGATTATGGCATAAACACAATGCTCACACATTCACGAAGCTAAAGCAAATCCCAGGATTACAGGCTAGTTTATTTACATGCATTAAAGCCGCGTGCATGTATACAAGAGAAGCACAAAGCAGCCAACCAAATCATGCAATGCCTCATTAAGATAGTAAAGTGAGTTATAAGAAGTGAGTAGACCATCAGTCGGCCACCTTGCTTGGTTCAGTGTTTTTTCGTGATTGTTCGTGAATAATGGTTTCTGGCTCTGACGATGTCCGTCATATGACGGGCAAAATCTCAGCACAGAGTCATCAGTTTTGTAGGACGTTAAGCCGAGGTCTTTCTGGCACAAATCAGCAGACATAATTCAAGAGCAATCATCCTTCGTTATCCGGTGCGGCCAATTTACGAATCCCTTCTACCCGCCTTTTCAGACGACACGAAATATATGCCAGCATCAATTTACTTAGGGATTCTTCGAAACCCACCATCTTTTCATAACCCTTTAATTATCTTTTTATGCTCATCTGCCTACATACAGCTAGGCTGCAAGCAAGGAAGTCGGAAGGAAATGATTATTCTTGTGCTAACTGTGCTAATGACAATTCCAGGCTACCTTGGGGCTCCGGGGATTGCGAGGCCTCGGCACCGGTCAGTAACTCGAGAATTCCCAAAACTTGATATAGACTTCTTTCTGCCAGGCAACCGCAACACCGGGCTAGCATTAGTGTAAAGAAGGCAAATTTGCAAATATAACGACGAAGAGGTTGTGACTTATGTTTTGATCACAGTCTCCTTTCGTTATATAAAAGTGGTTTGACCTCGTTTTCAAAACTTGGTCTTGTTGTCATTGCGGCCACGGTCCGAAGCTGAAAATTTTCATACCTACTTTAGTAGATGGCTTTAGACAAAATACATCCTATTTGATTCCTTTGGGATCATGACCAAGTTGCAAAAATGTGGTCAAACCACTTTAATTCATGCTAAAATTGTATTTATGAGAATTACTCACCCTATTTCGTTTAAGATGATATAGGACTGGTGACTCAATGATCCCATAATTATGTAACTAAGCCTCACGTTTATATTTACTTTCATAAAGCCTTGTTTCTCAAAAGGTTTTCTCATCCCGTTTCGAACCCGCCGGGGTCTCCTCAGCACTACAGGGCATATGTGAACTTTAGAGAAGGCAGCCATTTCTCATATCACATTCTGTGTGGTGAGTGCCGATGAAGCAATGTTCTATTTGCTATAGAAGGCGACTACATTATTTATACTCTGTTTATAAGTAGGCTTTCGATATCATATATATGATATGTATTCACCTACTTATAAAAGAAAAATATGTAATGTATTCGGTTGCTATAGCAAATACAACTTTGCTTCATCGGCGATTCCACGAAAGAATGTGATATTGGAAAATACCTTGTCTTTCTTATCTGCCATGTGACTCATGACGGTGTTGCGTAGTGGTTACCGTGTCGAGAATATACGTTGTACTAACCTAATCCGGGTTCGAGTCTCGCTGATGTCACGATGAGAACAGTTAATATGAGATCAAAACGGCAGTCCAGTTGATCCTTGATGATAATACCTTTTGGAAAGCAAGACTGTGTGAAATTCATGGACACGTAGGGTCTACTCATATGGGAGTGGGAAAATTCAACTACCAGTTCTTCATCTCCCCTATGAAATTGGGTAACTACATCTCATATATCTTTTCTGCTGATAGTCTCTAAAATCTACTTACAAACGAAAAACATTTGAAAATCAGTTATTACATCACTTTTTTTAATTCAAATGAGTCCTTGTGTGTCCTTTTGTGTCCTTATACCGGCAATTTGTTATATTATTTTATATTATAATCATTTATAGAAGTTTATGCGGCCTCATTGCCCCTTTAGTGCACGCCCAAGTTGCATTTCTGATAGAAATACGAAGAAAGTACCAAGAAATGCAAAGCTTGACGGGTGATCACATCTCGCTGTGAATGTTCCTTCATTAATCGCCTATCAAAAATGCTCCTTTCCTACTGGGAATTACTTGTTATTTTAGTATCTGAGATGAAAATAACAAAGTTTATCATCAAATGATGAGAATCTGGCCTAGAGAGGCAAAATACAAGATGAATAAGTAATATCAAAAAACCAAATTGAGTCTAGAAGGATTGTCCTAAAGGGTCCATGAAGAGCTGAGATCTAGGGTCAGCGTATCTAGTGCATTTCCAACAAAAACATTTTCGTCGTATTTGCGGGTATTAAGATTCTGTGTGTACAAATGGGAAAATGACGAAAAGCATTACCAGATGTACGTTTAAACTAAGATGCTCTGCATGTAAACACTCTGACCAAGGACAATCAACATTTAAATGTACCGATGAGGGTGAATAAATATGGGCTAATGTCTGTGAGGGGATGACTTGTAAATGCACAGCCAAGTTTGACAGATATAAACCAGTCTTCGGATGCGATTTGGGTATGTGTTGCTGAATTATGTACGGGGCAGAGGCCTCTAAGGTAAGACGAGATTCTAGATCCACAGTACCATAGACTTAGTACCTTGAGTCCTGCAGCCCTGTGATTGCTATGACGACAGGTTACCACCAAATAAGTGATAGATGACGGGTCTCTAAGCTTTGTGTGAACCTTTTTCTGGAGTCGGAGACTTTAGAATTTGGAATTTAGAAGTCCCGGATCTGCCGGCACTCGACGACAAATTCAGACCAAATCGCCTCCGCAGGGACAGTGAAAGCTAAGGTTGGTCCCACCAGAAGACTTTGGAGGATTCTTCGTGGCTGGTGGTCGTTTGGCCTTACTGTAGTTTTATTTTTCAGTTTTATGTTGTCTCTAAGGCATTCTTCTTTGGTTCAGGGAGGTACTCGCTGAACAATTGCTGTATTCATTTGAACTCGCATGTGACGAAGGAATGGCTTAGACGGGAAACGAACTCTGCATGCTACATCAGACTTCCATAAGTGCTGAGGCAGGTGTGATTTTCAAGACAAGTCAAACTATTCTGGAGGGACTCTTGATGGCGCAAGTCAGTGAGTGGTTGAACAAAAATTTAGGTAAGACAATTTTCTCGATTGGCAGTAGATATAAGTTATATCTCACTTAGAGTATATATACCGCCATTGCAGCTTGAATTATGTGTAGGATTGGTAACTTGTACTCTGCCTACTCATACTGAATGTAAGTAGTACATTCGGTTGTTGTGACAAATACAAGTTTTAGAGTTGATCATACTTCGAAACATTCAGTTTGTTTAACAATTGAAGAGTATATTTATATTCGATATGAGAACGCTTCAAAACTATCATTAATCTATCATTTTAATCCAATGGAATTTTTTGAGGCAGATGTCATTCTAATTGCCAACCTAGAGGCATGTGCGTGAGTATGCCTGTATGCACATGTATGCTTTCATATGTGCATAGATATTAGAAGCTAAAAAGTGAGTATATCATCTATCATAGGACATCGAGATCTAGGGATCTTTTATTTTTGTTTTCCTTCCGATTGCCTAATGCCTTACGCATATCTGGTTAAGTTGGTGTGCTATTTTGTGTGATCTCCGGCAATTGCAAGGCAAAAGCTGTCTAGTGAATCAACTTGTCTTCGTTTTTATCTAA